ATAATGAAATTTCTAATGATCATGCTTTAGTATGATATATTTAGAACGCGAATTCCTATTTGTTGATAAAAATTACACTAAATTTAGCCAACTTTGGTGACTGGCCGGGTTATGAAAACCCATAAATTTTCTTTATATATATGAAGTAAAAATGAACATTTCAAAAGTAAAAGTTACAATTAAAATTTTCAAATATAGATTCAGACTGCTCTTAAATGCTATGATAGTGGTAATATTAATTGGCTCTGGTAAATAAACGACATAATCAATAATCTGAGAAACATTCACAGAGGGAAATTTGTTGTGACTTTCATCCTGGCAGTATTATAATGCGTAGTATTCTTTAATTGCTGAATTTTGACTTAAATTTCAACAAATATCAAACATTGAGTACTTCATTATATGATTTCAGAGGTATTATATGAAAAATCACACACTAACGCTGCAGATATATCGATAACAGTAAATATACGAAATTTGACAGGTGAATGACAATTTGTCATGATAATTAGCTTGTATACGACATATAAAGAAGTATGATATATGATACAAATACATGTACATGTATTTAATAAAATATCCAAAAAATAATATTCAATATTATTTTATTTTAATGCTATCATGCAGTCTTACTCATAAGTACTTTACTATGTTATTAATGATACAGATAACAAAGACATGATAATACCAGTAAGTCATTCTATATTACATTTTAAATATGAAAATGTGACTATCCACGTTACAGTAGCCTGTTTAGAACTACAAGTAACTGAGCTTGTCTAATAAACAGTATTTGATTGTTTGCTATATGATTTGTCCAAGATATTTGAAAAGTAAGGAAAGATAATGAGTAATGAATCAAAATTATTTCTGAGCACAAAAATAATGCGAGGACTAATCATTTATATTTTTATAGACCGGTAAACTTCTATATTGGACAATTAATATTCATCAAATTTCTATATTAAAATATAGTGAATCATCATTTTAGAATATAATATCTCAATATTCAGTGATCCAATTTGAACAAAATTACTATTATTAGATTTGTCAAATTGAAACAAATTATATAATAGTATTTGCATTTGAATAAGATTACTAATATCAAATATTACACTCTAAAGTGATAATTTATTTTTATCAATCATTAAAAATTAATTATCAAAAAGTAACTTGGTCACTTTATAATGCAATATATCAATATCTAGTAATTCAAAATTTATTATTCAATTACCTAATCAAGATAAATTCAAATAATAAATTTTTGCTAATATTTATTTACTTTTGTAAACAAGATAAAATATATATTGAAAAATTTTAATTTATAAATACTTATAATTTTATTATTTGAATAGTATTCAAGCTAAAGTTTAAAATATAGAATAGAATAATATATTTATATAAAATAAAATATGAATAAATTATAATCTAAAATACATATTGGTTTTATATAAATTATATTAATTATCTTAGATTATATCTTTAGAGAATAATATTATTACTAGATTATAATGTGTATATAAATATATATTAAAATTTCTAATATAATTTTATAAAAAGATATATTTTAATTGAAATTTCAATAAAATATAATTATGAAATATAAATTATTAATTATATTATTTAATTATTTTATATTAATTTTAATTAAAATAATTAATATTCAATAGTTTCAATTATAAATATAAACAAATTTAATTTATAAATTGTAAATAAAAAATATAATATTATTAAATAAAATATATTTTGCTAATTCTAGTTATATAAATTTTATAAAGTTATTATATAAATTTTTTTAAAATATTAATTAAATTAATAAATACTAAGTTATTAATTTTATTTAAATAAGAACTATTGAATTTCTAGTAAATTAATTTTTATAAAAATGATATAATTTAAAAGGATAAAATTTGAATTCTAATAAAAAATTATTATTATTAGTTATATTATAAATTATATTTAATTATTTTCAGATAATTTTATTTAAATATTTTTATTAGACTGATATAAAATAAAAATAAAATAAATAATAAAATATATAATTAACTAACTTTAATAAATTAATTTTTTGTAAATTATAAAATTAATAATTTTAGTATTATAGAATAATACTAACTTTCTAAAAAATGACTTTAAATATTAAAATTATATAATAAATCTAATTATTTTATAAAATTTATATAATATTAAATATAATATTATAATATAATATTAAAATATAATATTAAATATAACTAATAAATATTTAGCTTATTAATTTTATATTTTCAAAAATTTAATAAGTATATTTATAATTTAATAATATAATTAAAAGATAATAATAATAAAATTTAATTTAATTTAATTATTTATAATTTTTGATAGAATATAATAAATAGCTCTTTAAATTAATAATTTTTTATATTTAAATAATATTAATATTGATAAATTAAACTTAATATTTCTATTTATTAATCAAGTTAAATTAATAAATAAATATTAATTCTTTAAATAATAATTCTCTAATTTTAATAATTATATAAATAATTTGATAGGTCATTAACTTTATTACTATAATCTATTAATATATTATTAAAGATTAATAAAATAATTAATTTTATTAGTAATTACTAATTATAAAATAAGATATATTTGAAAATTATCAAATTTAGTAAAATAATTATAATATTGATTATTATTTCCTAACTTATTTTATTTTCTAAATAAAAAATTAAAGCTTAACTCTTTCTGATATTATTTTTAGAGAAGTAAATCTAATAATTTTTTGGTTTTTTCTCTATTAATTTAACTCTAAGTACTAGTATTTGCTGGAATTTGTTTCAAAATCTTTCAAAGACTTTGATGATTTTCTTTTTTAAAGTTACAAATTCTTATATTCTTAAATCTAATTAGATAAAAAACTAATATTTTCTTCTTTTTGTGACTACCTTAAGCCTTTCTACTAATAAATCTATGAGTTTTCTTTTATTTTCTTTTTTCAATATCAAAAAAACTTAACATAATTACAAAATTTCTTTTTTAGTAACTGCACTTTTGAATACAATAAAAGAAATAATTAAAGATTTCATATGTATTCTCATTTTCAAATTTCTCTTTATTCATAAATTTTACTTTCATTCAACAAATAAAACATAAAAAAATCTGACAAAACTAAATATAAATTTATAAGAAAAAACGAAAATATTTGAGAAAAAATTGCTCTCGGCACCATACACACACTAAAAGGAGAAAAATTAAACTATTTACTTTTAAACAGGGAAGAGTTTGAAAATTATCGTCTTCTCACTTCAATTTTGAGTTGAAACCATTTAACAAAATGGTTGTGCCCATCGTCAAAAGTGGTATAAAAACCGTCAGGAGCATCTTGCCAGCTGCTATTAACTTCTTTAGCGTCATCGTTAATTGCTTGAAATCCACTGTATTTATACTCAGCATTACAAAAACCACATGTCTCTTCTCGAACACGACTGCCACAGAGAGGACATTTACAGAGATATGAATCAATGTTAAAACGGAAATCACGATAGCCAAGTGGAATGATGACACGACTTTGATTGTAAGCTTCGCAGGAAGAATTTTGGCAATATCCTTTAAGAAAAGTTTAAAGAAAAAAATGCTATCACATAAATATTTTATATTAATTTTGTATTTGTATAAAAGCTAAGCTTACCTTCAAGGTTTAAACCATTTCCATAAACTCTCCAACGAGGTGCTGAGCTAACAGGCCTTCTTCTTTTCATTACGGCCATATCCGAAAAAATCCGTGGTGCACTCATAATGCTACCAGCAGCTAATGCAGGAGCAAGAGAACAACCACCTAGAATACTGTAAGTGGTTACTCTTTCGTCTTCATCGTCCGACATTTTGGCTTATTTCTATTTGAAAAAGATTGGAGAAAGAAAAGAATTTTAATATAAAAATTTGGGCAGAACGGAAAATAGGCAGAATTAAGATTTATAACTTTTTTATTGGCCTCAAATGGTGTTTCTTTGTTTCTTGGTTTAAACTAGCTTTGGCGTATCTGAATAGAAAACGCCGTGCTTTCCCTTATCAGCTTTTTTTGCGCTAAATTTTTGATACATTCCAGATCTTTCTGAGTACACGTATCAATAATAATAAACTTTCCCACAATTCTTTTTTAAAACACTCGAGCACGGAATTTTCTATTCAGATAATGTCAAAGCTAGTTCAAATCAAAGGAAACATCATTTGAGGAAAATTTACCGGTAAGAGTTTTTGCGTAGATCGTTTCCGTAACAAGGAGTTATGGTAGAATTAGGGTTAGTTAACGATTTCTAACGCTGTTACCCGGTGGAATAGATGTAGGGGATCTACCGAGTAATCAGACTGTACGATCACGGGTTGTTTCCCAGTTAGTTTTCCGTTAATTTCGTTGATCAATACTCAGACCCTTTATCGAGTTGATCGGGTTCTCCAAGTTATGGCGCTAGTTCCTGCCTAAGAAGGCAATTCGTCGGTCGTGGTGTCGTAGTTTCGTTATTTAGTGTTCGTAGCCTTAGGGTAGACTACTTTATTAATAGAGAGTGTGGGGACAGATCAATAATGATTCGAAAGAATGTATGCGTTTATTTAAGAATAATAATAATCTTTATTTTATTTAATAAAAACTTTTATTGCAATGGTGAATTATTTTATAGTTCTATTGAACTTAATTCTTGATTGTAATTCTATCTTTTTCTTCTACTCTAAAGCTCTCCTTATTTATAATCAAATTTCCTCCCACAATTCTCGTCGTGATCCCGCATCACCAAGACTAATGAATCATTTTTGTTTTGATTCATTAGTCGGCGCCTTATTGGCACACCTTCATATATTCGGGATTTATTGGTGCACTCCCTATCAGACCATCTTCCCAACGATGCATCAATCTGAGGCTTTGCTTCGCTGCATCCCGGTTGCATATACTAACTTCACTAATCCTAATTTCCCTAATCACGAGATCTGATCCCGTGCCCAATATCACGCGGATCGGGATCTACATGATGACGTAGTCCAATTCCATGCTACAGTGTACGCAGATGGTGTCGAATTACATGTATAGGATTTGATGAGGGGAATTTATCACTCGTTTTACTGATCTTTATTACTCTATATATACACTTTCGTTCTATATGACAAAAATTATTGGAGAGAAAGAATCATTATTGGATAAATTACTGAAGAAATTAAAACAAAAAACGTAGAAACTTATCGACATTTTTTGTTGGATTAAATGAAACTTGCATTTCTTGTACAATATATAAAAGTAAAAATTCTAGCAATCCATAGAATGTTCATATAGAGAGGTGCGACTGTACTTTTTAATCCAGAATGTCAAAAGTATTTTTCTCAACAGAATATCCCACATAACTAAGCTTAATAGCATCGCACATTCACTCCTTTGCGTAGCAGTCCGCATTTAGCTTGAATATCATCATAATTAAATTTGAATAAAAAAGATGAATAAATCTAAATTCTATTCAAACGGATTGATGACAACTTTTATGTGAATGGCAACAGCTGTTTGACCTTTATTATATACCGACGATGAAAGTCAATAACACAAATAACTCGCATTAGCGGTTTCAATTCGCTTGATTAGTTTTCTGAATCAATTAGTAACCTGATTCTGTAAAAGGATAAAGATGCCGATAACTCTACGAACTGAGCGTAAAGTAGCTTTATGCTATAACTTCTCGGCACCCGGATAGCGTTGTAATAAATCTCCATAAAATGCATACGTAATAGCATTGTTATACAAACCAATATTTTCGTGAGGAGGTTGAGTTCGTTTGTCCATTTTACGATGGAATTATCAGATAAATTTCGCAGCATTTGCAAGCTTGACAGATACCGCATTCAAAACACTTTTCCCCAAAGATCGATTGCATTCTGTTTTAGATTATCAGTTTCGAGTAAACAAATTGATTAAAGCAGAGTCTGCCAGGGCGACCCCTAAAAGTTCGGACCACGTGATATTGCTGATCGACACCGGCGCTTCCGATCTGCCAATTCCGACCCATGGAATATTTATGTGCTACAAGTATACTAAATATACTTGATTGGCACTTAATGTCTCTTGTCTCAGTTTACAAGGTGAATGAAGAATATAACGAGCGTTTGTTCAAGTAATTCTTTACAAGTTTTATCAATCACGTCAGAGCTTACATTATCTTGTATTAGTGTCATGTCATTTAGTAGAGAGCATTGATAGAGAGATTCTTTCAGTATTTCTTCAGTATCTTCTATATTAAAGATGAATTCTTTGAATTTAACATTACTATTCTTTTTACAGGCAATGGTAATTAATTATGATTTTGATGAATTATTGAAGAATAATTAAATAGAATTTCAGATAAGTACAATTAACAAATATACATGTTTTTAATTATGCTTTTCATGCTAATATCATTTTTATTTATTCTTATTATCTTCTATAGCTATAATATCTGTATTATCAGTTAATATACTCTTGACAAAATATGATTTTTCTTCATGATTATTTGATCCTTCTGGACATAACAAAAATATTAAGTATAACTTTTTATTTACTGGTATCCAAGTCAGCTATCAATATTTTTATCATTTTATTATCTGAATTTTCTTTTCTATTGATATTATTCTACTCTATCCTATCATTATGTGAATATGACATCAATTATTAGCCAACTTTTCAATATAAATTCATTTGATTATCTATTTAAATAATAATTAATTTGATTTAATATAAGTTCAGATCTCTTTCTTTGAATTTTTATTAATAGTAATATTATTAGATATATTATTAATAAAGACTTTTATATTATCAGAATTAGCAACTTGAACTTTTTCAATTTTAGTAGGTATAATAGATAAGATATTAATTATAGTTTCTTCACTTTCAGAATTTCTTAAAATAAGAAATAGTAAAGTACTATGATATTTAAAATTATAGTACAGTAGTCTTCATTATTTATTATTAGATATAATATTAATCTATTATATTAAATACTTGTATAAAAAAATAACTTTCAAGAAAGATAAGATAGCTACAGATCTAGCAAGTAATATTAGTAAAATATAAACTATCTAAATTTATTACTTTTACATTGATATTTCATTTTCTTTTATTTTTGATATACTTATTATTTTATTAGTTATTACTTGCAAATATAATAATTTATGCTTTCATAAAATTATTCCATCATTATACTATTATTATATTAGTTAGAATTTGGAATAATCACTCTTTTTATACTTATATTATCTTATTAATAAGTATTTAAAGTAATAAATCAAGTCTTGAATAATTAAAATAATATAAATAGCATTTTTTAATAATACTCAAATAAACTTTAATTATTATTATTATTTTTCTAAAAGATATTATAAATCTAACTGATTATGCTTACAAATATTATTATTCTAATAAATATTAATTAATCTAGAAATAGATCTATAGTAATTATAAGAAATTTTCTATATAAATTAATATATTATTATAGCAAATCTGATAAGTAAATTTTTATTTAGATTCATCTTAATAATATTGAGTTAGAAGAGATTGAATTAATTAAAGAATAAAAAAAGAGAAATTAAACTATACTTTTAATAATAATAAAATTTCTAAAGTTTGTACTAATATTTATGGATATTGTTTTTTAAGAAGATAAATAAATAATAAAAGAATAAAATAAATCAAGAAAATTATAAAAATTAATTAATAAAGTCACTAATAATTAATATAATTCAGAATTTTAAAATAACTAAACAATAAAATTACTATTAATCAAAGAAGATTATGATTAAGAAAAGATAAAAACTAAACTAAATAATAAAATAACTAATCAAAAAGAATATAATTTATTTATAATAGAAATCTTTTACTCTCAAAATAATAAAATAAATAAAATAAAAATATAATTTATTTATAATAAAGATCTTTTACTTTCAAAATAATATCCAAAAATCAAAAATCAATATAATATTACAAATTATATTCTGAAAGATAGATTTTATCATGAATAATAAGTTTTGAGAATGAAGACTGAATTATTTATAAAGATAAAGAGGATTACAATTACTCTAAAGATTTTCTAGTACCAATACTTACAAGTATTGTATCAATACAAGGTCAAA